TGCTCTCTGGCATTTAATTATTACGTAAATTGTTTAAACTTAGCTATGCCAGTGGGGAATGGGGATTAGCAAGATCACTAGTTCACAATTTCACTTTTGTGGCGATGCTTAACAAATTCCCCAGTCTTGGTTGTTATGTATTAACTTGTAAGTATCAACAGAGAACAACTTTTAGATATCTAAGTTGTAGTCTATCTTGTCTGACAAATGATACCTGCCCTCAAAAGATTCGTGGTTATAATAAATAAAAAGAGAGAGTTTGATTCACAGAAATATTTATTTTCTTTTCCTTTTTGGGTCTTAGCTATCATAGTTAGCTATGGTTTATGTGCAATTGGGCTTTGCTAAAGTGAATGTTTGTGGACAATATGAATTGCAGTTGCAGGCTTGGAATTAAAAGTGTGACAATATTTTTTTTTTAAAAAAAGGGTAAAGGAAAAAAAGTGGAGAGGAAACTTCTGTGGGCATGTACCTTAAATATTATGCCTAGGGGTCGAGGCTTTACAAGTCATACAGCGTAGAACTAATTGTTCCCTGATTGTACAAAACTGGACAAATTTAAATTTTTATCATACTATATTCTACACTCGAAAGCAAGCAGAGTGCTTACTGACTGTGACTTTGTAGGCTCGCTTTTGAATGCCGGAATATTGATCAAATACGACTGGAATTTTCTGGGCTTAAATCCTCAAACTTTGAGGAAAGCTTTTTGCGTTTTTCTTTGGTTGATAATTAATCGTGATGGTATGGAAAGTTATGTTTCAATGAATCACCAAAATGTTAACTGTGCAGTCAAATTGGCAAAATTATATGTACGGCTGGTGTTGCTTGGATTTTATAAACTATTTTAACAGATGAAACTCGTGATGTTCATTGCAGCTAACAGCCATTTTCTTATTTTGTTGTGTCTTCCAGTCTGAAGTTTTCACGGTTGCATTTGCACTGCTTGCAGCTGGTGCTGTTATTCTAACCTTGAATGTCTTGCTGCTGGTAAAGCCTCTCTCTTCCCCTCCAACACGCATGCACACGGATTTTATAGTCAAATGATGATAATTCATTTTCAGAAGTTGAATGTGTGAAATTTATCTCCCATTGTGTCAAAACATTGAATATCTGAAGCCCAGAAAGAATTATATGATCCTGGATTGATTGAAAATACTATACTCTTCTTTCAGGGTGGTCATATTATCTTCTTCCAGAGCCTAAGTCTTCTAGGCTACTGTCTATTCCCTCTAGACATCGGTGCCTTAATTTGCATGTTAAAAGACAATGTGATCATCAAAGTGGTGGTGGTTGCTGTGACATTGGCGTGGAGCTCATGGGCTGCATATCCATTTATGAGTAGTGCCGTCAATCCAAGGAGGAAAGCTCTCGCACTTTATCCCGTCTTGCTTATGTACGTATCTGTCGGTTTTCTTATCATAGCTATAGACTGATGCAACAATTATATGGTGGTTATAGTACCACTTCATTAAGTGGTCAAACACTAAACAAAACTATTAACATTTGATATAGTTACCAATTGGATTGCAGTCGAATTGTTTATCAATACTTTCTTGATTTTGAGTTTTGACTGCCCCATATGTAATAGCAGTTGTATATTACTTTTTATTTCGGGTATAAATTTGTGTTTCGTATCTTGTTAAACTATTTCTGGTCTGTAGACTGTAGTTGGCTTCCCAATTGTCACTTCATTAAAAGTTTATTGGTTTATGCATATATCTTATTTATGATTGATTTGAGTGTCTGTTAATTTTGTGCTTCTTGGAGCTCATGGCAGCCTAGTTTTCAATTTCCTTAGGTTTCGTCGTCCTAAAAACTTAAATTACTTCTGTTGACTGATTTTTTTTGTTTAATGGAAAAAATGTTAGAATTAATTGAAGTTTTACGTACATATTCGGCTTTGGTGTCAGAAGTCAGGAGTCAGAAGTTTTGTGATGCGTGGATCAAAGTTTGGAATAGTGCCAGTCAATGTGATTCTCGTTTGCCCTTTTCATCAGCTTCAAACCGTACACTCGTATTTAAACATGAGAGAGAAGAATCACAGAGGTAGAGGTAGAGGGTTGCAGAGGTGGAGGTGGGAGAGCGATGGGGTGTCAAATGGCGTTGCGTTACGAGTCATGTTAAATGGGTGGAGTCGCGTTAGGTGGCCTGGAAGCGGAGGACTGATACAGCACGAGTCAACGTGCAAGCTTATGTTTAAAAGTGGCCTGACTCATTGGAGTGATGACATTTGTACATCATTATGTACATAATGAGATACAGATGGATGATATGAAAGAAAGAGAAAAAATGAGATGGAAAAAAAAAAAAATTCAGTTATAATCTTTCTAACTTCAATCTTAAATAGCATTATTGGACTTATTTTGATAGAATATTATTTAGGAAAAAAAATCACTTGAAATCACCAACAGTTGATTCATAGTACAAGTAGGTCCTTAACCTAAGTCACCACCTTTCATAAAACAGTTGTATTATGTGTACAATCGAGATTGACAATTTCGATTGACAATTAGGCACATGGAAGGGGACTTACTCTGAATAAAAAATCGTGCATCTCCCTTTTATGAGTACATTGTCAATCGAGATTGTCGTACAAGAAGAATAATTCTTCATAAAAATGCAAGCTAGGTCCTCATTGGATGGAAAAAGGACCACGATTGTTAAAATGAATTTTTTTTAGGAAAATACGCTTTGAAATAGTGATTTTTTTCGAGAATGTGTGGTTAAAAAATATGAAAAATTTTAAATTTATGTGCAAAATATTTTATTATAAAAATGTGGTTGAAAATAAATTTAAAAAAATAAAAATTAGTTTAATGGTTGTCAACGGCTAAATTTGAAACCGTTTGAAGTGAGTAGATGAATATTACAAATTCATAGTTTCATTAATGTTAGGAATACCCTTTTGGGAAGGCATCAAATTCATTTGACTCTCGTACGCTAACTTCAGACTTTGCCCCTGTTTCAGTACAGTTATTCTTAAAATTCATTTTTCATAAATATTTTTCACGTAAATTCAAAAATTTTTTCTATTTTTAAATCATACATTCTTAAAAAAATCATTATTTTAAAATATATTACCCCAAAAGGTGAGGCTTAATCAAGACTTAAGCTATCTCCAATCATGCACTAAACCAAAAATCATCTCCAACCATTATGTCAAAATTTACACCAAATGAAAAGTACTTAATCACTATTTTATTTTTTTATTCTTAATTATTATTATTATTATTATGTTAACGTCAAAATTAGTAAGGATAATTTTGAACCAACTTTATACCACAAAAAATGTCTTTTAAGTGTGATTGTGCCATGAGTCATTATATGAATTCACTTGCCTTTTACTAGAATCCTATTCAACTATTAATACATAGTTTCAGCCGAAATTACATCAAATCAGTCAAATCAGCAACAGTGCCGAGCTCGGAACTTGGGTCACCGAATTCTCCTGTGATTGATCGATGAGGCCGGTGGTCATGTGTGAATGTGTTACCCAGGTAATGATGACCTGCAAGGGGCTGGAGTTCGAGAACTTGGAATTGGTTGTTCCGAGCGGCGATGATGTCACCTGTGACAAATGTATCTGATTGATAGGGTGATGTGATAAGAGGTAATCATGATATTTTTCTGAGATAATGGTGGGTATGTCCGACTTGGGAGTATGGGCCGAACTTACATTTAACTGAAGTGGGGTTAGTGAACTGTTTTTATTAGGTCGGATTTCTGATGTCAACAGTTACCCCCAGGTCAGCTCCACCGTAGGGGGCTGGCCTTAGTGATGCTTTCTCCAAGAAGTACATTTATTGCTGTGAAAAGTGTCATCTTTTGATGGGGATGAGCTGTATAAGTAGCTTCTTCAGCAAGCTTGACTAAAACTACGTCGTTTTGTCTCTAAGACTTTTGAGCTATTGATTTTTTCCCTCCATTCCTGGATGGACAGTTCAGATCGCGCCCTCTCAGCTTCTTTTTTTTAAATTCGTTTTTGGCAAGTCATTTCTCCTCCTATTTCGCTGGTTTATTTTCTCAAATATTCGGGCAATCTCCTGAGTTCGTATTTCCATATTCGAGTGAGGTCGTTTTCCCAGTTCATTTCCCAAGTATTCTTCTGTTCTTATCTGCTTCCTCTTTCAGTTTGTGCTTTGTTTCCTAGTTTATACATAAGTTCGGACGAGTCTAGAGTTCATTCCTGGGGCAACCAGTAGGTAGAGTCAATCCCTTTCTCGACGAGTTCGTCTTCTAGTTGTAGGGAAGTTTTTACCCCTGTTCCTATTTCCATAATTAACCCGATCAACTTAGGGCATCCTATCACAGACTTCGGATGTGAGGGTTCCAAAGGAGCGGGTAGATCCAGTAAGGATGTTGAGGAGAGTAATTCTGGGGAGTGGGGAGCGAGTTCTTATAGGTCGGTTGTAACAGGGGATATGTTAGCCAGCTGGCGAGCTAAATACGCCATCCCTAGTTCGGTAGTGATGATAATACCAGAACCATCTGACCGGGTTGACACTCTTTCTAAGGGATGTATTGCTCTAAACTCAGCTATCCTTTAGGCCGACCTTAGGCTTCCCTTTCCTAGGGCAATTCGTAAATTCCTTTCTTCCTCGGGCATAGACCCCATGCAGCTATGCCCTAACGGGTGGCAAACCTTAATAGCCGCCCTTATTCTGTGGAACCAAATGGGGAATCCCGAGCTAAGTGTCCAGTAGTTCGATTCTCTGTTTACTTTTAAGGAGGATGGGAAGAACTTGGGTTGGTGGTACACAAGCGTTAGGCCCAGTACGGGAGGTTCTGTGGTGTTAGACACCCCTTCCTCAACTAAGAAATTGAAGGAAGAGTGGTTCTATGTATCGGGGGAGTGGCAGTTTCATTCTACCGAGGTGAATAGGGAGGACGTGGTTCCCAGGCTCTATCATTCTTTATGTAAGTGTTTTTTTGGGCTTTAGTCTTTTAGCAAGGCGTATGTTGACGAAGTACTGACCTCGGTATTTTTCCTTTTTGCAGATGACAAGAAGGAAACGTTAACCAAAGATACACAGAGACGAGCTGAGGTAAGAAGATCATTACCCAAAAAGCAAAGGTCCTGTAAGTTTGTAATCTCAAATTCGAACTTACACCAGGCCGGTTTGTTGCAAATAGGAGCTTCAAGTTCGGCTCCTTCCAGTTCAAGTAATATTTTGACCCTCATTCACGGTTGTGGTTTCTTTATGTATATACATATTTATTGAGCATTTCACTATTTTCTCAGCTCATCAAAACGAGATGCAGGGCTACAAGGTAGCAAAGGCAGCGGCTACGACCAAAGGAAAAAAGAGAGATGCCCCAGAACGGTTGGAGAGCCGCTTTGAAGAGGTGGAAGAGGAGGTTCCACTGAAAAGGAATCGATCTGCGCCCCCGGCAGCACTGAGGATTCCTGAGGCAGTACCTTAACCGAGCTCTACTCTGCCGTCTCCTTCTTTGCCTTCCCCAGCTACACCCTCTGCTGTCGGGACCAGTTTTGTAAACTTGCAGGATAGGTGCCCAAATTTACAGAGGCCGAGCTGGGAAAGTTTGGTGGGACACCGACCAAAGATATTTTTAGATTATCTCCGAGCTCCTTCTCCTTCTAGAGGGATGACTGCCGTGCTCACTTCACCATTGAGGGAGTCGTCCAATCTGCTTACCCGGAGCTAGGGTGAGACAAAGCAGGGCTATCTGAATGAGATGCTTATTGGTGAGGCCTTGGTCACTGCTCAGCTCCATGGTCACCAATCAATTTTATACATGATGGCAGTGGCGGATAAGGTATACTTCTTACTTTATGGTTTTTTGAGCAACTGTTTTAATGACTTACTTGATTTTTGATTTTTGAAAAACAGGTGAAGTCTGAGCTAGACAAACTTATAGAGGCAAAGGATCAGGCCTTCAGTCTTTATAACAGCATGGTGGCTGAAAAGGCCAAGTTTTCTTTGAGGAGCTGCAGAGGTTGTCTGAGACTGCTGCAGTCCGGGTATTACCGGCAGCCCTGGATGTTGAGGATAGTACCCCCAGCCCCCAAGACCCCTAGGCGGTTAAAAAAATATTGTTTTTGGTATTTAGTTTTACAATATGTTTTTGGCTTATGAATGAACCTTATTTTGACATTTTATGATATTTTGTTTAGAATGGATAACTGTTTATACTCAGTGAGGTTTCTTTAGTAGAGATCTTTTTCTTTTTTTTTGTTGGTGTGACAATACCTCACAAACTTAGCTAAATTTGTAAGAGCGTCATAGTAGTATGTAGAATTACCTTGAATGAATTTTACCTAGTTGTGCAGTACCTGCTTTCCAAACCAGGCTTATGCATTGGGCATTTTTACTAAGTTTAGTACAACGTACGGCCTTAGCTCGTCCTGCGTGTAGAGCAGGGCAGTGAAAATTACCAATAAGGCAGTGAAAATTACCACTAAGGGTTGCAGTACGTAAGGCCTTATCTCGGCCTTTGTATGGAGCAGGGCTTTATAAGATTCTTTAGGAGAAATTTTTCACTAAGTGTCATAGCACATACGACCTTAGATCGGTCTGCGTATGGAGCAAGGCTTTATAAGATTTCTTAGGAGGAATTTTCCACTAAGTGTCGTAGCACATACGATCTTAGATCGGTCTGCGTATGGAGCAGGGCTTTATAAGATTCCTTAGGAGGAATTTTCCACTAAGTGTCGCAGCACATACGACCTTAGATCGGCCTGCGTATGGAGCAAGGCTTTATAAAATTCTTTAGGAGGAATTTTCCACTAAGTGTTGCAGCATATACGACCTTAGATCGGCCTGCGTATGGAGCAGGGCTTTATAAGATTCCTTAGGAGGAATTTTCCACTAAGTGTCGCAGCACATACGACCTTAGATCGGCCTGCGTATGAAGTAGGACTTTATAAGATTCCCTAGGAGAAATAATCCACTAAGTGTCGCAACACATACGACCTTAGATCGGCTTGCATATGGAGCAGGGCTTTATAAGATTCCATAGGAGGAAATTTTCACTAAGTGTCACAGCACATACAACCTTAGATCGGTCTGCGTATGGAGCAGGACTTTATAAGATTCCTTAGGAGGAATTTTTCACTAAATGTTGCGGCACATACGACCATAGATCAGCATGTGTATGGAGCAGGGCTTTATAAGATTCCTTAGGAGGAATTTTCCACTAAGTGTCGCAGCACATACGACCATGTATCGCCCTGCGTATGGAGTATGGCTTTGTAAGATTCTGACAAAGTGTTGAATAAAATGTTCAAAAATAGGAAATCCCTTTTTATTGATGTGATTGACATTACAAAGGGGGCTTTATATGGGCTTTTCACGTTCACTAATAGTACTGCTTAAGGTGTTCGGCATTTCAAGGATGGGGTAAGGGTATATCCCCCAAGTCTTCCAGTTCATATGCCCCTTTTAGCAGGACCTTCGTTATCAGATAGGGACTTTCCCAATTCAAACCCAGGCATCCACTGCCGATCTCTCTTATGGGGAGGAATACCTTCCGTAAGATGAGGGATCCTACCTTAAATTCTCTCTTTCGCACTTTTTGATTGTAGTACTTGGCGTTCCGCTGTTTGTAAACAGCATTCTTGAGTTCGGCGTTGTTCCTTTTCTCCTCGGTTAGCTCGAGTTCCGTGCGAAGAGCTCTGTGGTTCCTTTTTTCGTCATAATCTGTTATGTGCAGCGAGGAAATGCTGACTTCTAATAGGATCACGGCCTCTACGCCGAAAGCCAGTGAGAATAGGGTTTCTCCCATGCTTGTCCTTGCAGTAGTGCGATAAGACCATAGCACACTGGGGAGTTCTTCGACCCATCCTCCTTTAAACAAGTCAAGTTTTACTTTTAATGTGTGCTTAATAATTTTGTTAATGGCTTCGACTTGGCCGTTTACTTATGGATGGTTCGATGATGAGAAATGTTTCTTGGTGCTGAACTATTCGCAGAAGTCTGAAAGTCGTGCGTTGTCAAACTGTTTTCCATTGTCCGTAACAATGGAGTGAGGTATGCCGAACCTGCAGATCACTGATTTCCACAAAAAGTTTGTTGTTTTTTGTTCGGTGATGGTGGCAAGTGGCTCTGCCTCGGCCCATTTAGTGAAGTAATCCACTGCGACGATGGTGAATTTTACCTCTCCTTTTCCAATGGGCATGGGTCCAATTAGGTCGACCCCCCATTTTGCAAAGGGCCAAGGTGCTGTTACTGGGTTCAGTTCACGCGGTAGAGTATTTATGATGGGGGCAAGGAGCTAGCACTTGTCGCATCTTTTGACAAATTTAAGGGAATCACGTCTTATTGCAGGCCAAAAGTATCATTGTCGTATGATCTTGTGGGCTAGTGAAAGTCCACTGGAATGGTTTCCACATATTCCTTCGTGAACGTCCTGCAGGGCGTGCTGAGCTTCTCCTTCGTTCAAGCACCATAACAAAGGCGTAGAATATCCCCGTTTGTATAGTATATTATCAATGTGTGTGTACCTAGCCGACCTTATTCGGAGCTTTCTAGCCTCTACAGAGTTTTCGAGATATTTCCCGATTTTCAGGTAAGCGATGATATCGTCCTGCCAAGTTGGTTTGGGGTCTATCATCATAAGGACCACTTTAGCCAGCTCGGTGGACGGTAGGGATATTCTTCCTACGGGGATGCTATCGAACTCTTCGATTCCCTCACTGGTGGCTAGGCGGGCCAGTGCATCGGCGTGACCGTTCTGAGATCGAGGAATTTGTTTGACTTGGGTGGTGTTGAATCTTTCAAGTTCTTTTTTCAAAACTCATAGGTAATTGTCCATCCTGTCTTCTTTCGCCAAATATACACCGTTGACCTGATTCATGACTAGTTGGGAGTTGCTGTGTAGGATCAGGTCGGAGATCCCTAACCCTGAGCTCATCCTTGCTCCGGCAATGAGAGCTTCGTACTCAGCCTCATTATTTGAGGCTTTAAAGTCAAATGGCAAAGCTTCGTAGAATATGCGGTGATCAGGGCTGATTAATACGACGTCGACTCCAGATCGTTTTTCGGTGGATGAACCGTCGACATAAAGTTTCCAAGGGGTTTCTTTCTGTTGTTCCCCAATTGGGACGTTGCAGAACTCAGAGACAAAGTCGGTGAGTGCTTAGCCCTTTATGGAGGAACAAGGCATGTATTTGATGTCAAATTATTCGAGTTCTACTGCCCATTTTACCATGCAACCAGAGGTGTCGAGCTTTTGCAGCGTTTGCCTCAATGGAGAGTTAGTAAGGACCTCAATGGTGTGTTCCAAGAAATATGGCCTCAATTTTCGCGCTGCTATCAGCAGGGTAAATGCCAGTTTCTCTACAGGTGAATATCTAAGCTCAGCTTCGTGAAGAGCTTTTCTTACATAATAAACTAGGTGTTGAACGCCATTTTCTTCTCGGGTTAGAACGGAACTAATGGCATGCTCTGAAATAGATAAATATAGTTTCAGGGCCTCGCTTGCCTTAGGTTTTGAAAGCAATGGAGGTCGGGCTAGTTGTCTCTTTAGCTCGTTAAAGGCGTCCTGACATTCTTTGGTCCATTCGAACTTCTTTCCTCCTCGTAACGTGTCGAAGAAGGGTTTGCAGCGGTCCGTAAACTTGGAGATGAACCGACTGAGGATGGCAACCCTTCCGGTTAAACTTTGTACCTCTCTAGGTTTGGTTGGAGACTTCATTTGGATGACAGCTTGTATTTTTTCAGGATTTGCTTCGATTCCTCGGTTGTTTACAATGTAACCTAGGAATCTTCCAGAACTGACCCCGAAACCACATTTCCTCGGGTTCAACTTCATTCCATACTTCCTCAGTATATCAAACATTTCGGTCTGGTACCGACAGTGGTCCTTGGCCTTGATGCTTTTGACCAGCATATCATCAACATACACTTCCATTGTCTTTCCGATCTGCTGGAAAAACATGGAATTCACAAGTCGTTGGTAGGTGGCGCCAGCGTTTTTGAGACCAAATGGCATTACTCTGTAGCAATAAAGACCTCGGTCAGTTACAAACGAGGTATGTTCCTGATCCAGGCCGTACATCGATATCTGGTTGTATCAGGCATACACATCCATGAAGCTGAGTAGTTCGTGTCCGGCAGTGGCGTCCACCATTTGATCTATTATGGACAATGGAAAGCTGTCTTTGGGCATGCTTTGTTGAGATCGGTGAAATCTATGCATACCATCCAATCTCCGTTGTGTTTTTTCACAAGGATCGAATTCGCAACCCACTTCGAGTATTTCGCTTCACGGAGAAAACCATTGTTCAACAGCTTTTGCACCTTCTTGTTGAGTGCTTCATATCTTTCAGGGTTCAGAGGTCGTCGTTTTTGCTGCTTTGGCCGAACTGAAGGATCCACCTGTAATTTGTGGCATGTAATACTGGGATCTATTCCTCTTATGTCACTGTGATCCACGGCGAAGACATCAAGGTTTTGTTTAAGGAAAGCCACAATCTTGCTTCGGGTAGAGGGCTGCAGCTCGCACCCGACTTTGAGCTCCTTTGTTTGGTCCTTGGCACAGACTCGAACTCCTTCTAGTTCTCCTCCTTCAATCCTGGTCCATGGGTCTAAGGGAATGAGTTTGGATTTCCATATGTTTGCCATATGTACTCCTGGGGAGTTGCGTTGATGGCTGGCACAGGCTTTCCATTGACATCTTTCAGCGAGCTCCTTGTTTCGTTCGACTTTTCCCACACCATGGGGTATGGGAAACTTGATAGAATAGTGATATAGGGAAACTACTGCTCTCGGGCTGAAGAGTAGAGGCTGTCCCATCACAACGTCATAAGGGGAGGGAGTGTCGAACACCACGAACTCGGAGTTCGTCTTCAACTGTCGGGGGTGCTGATCCTGACTCAACTTTGAGTTTAATTGATCCTTTAGCAGAAGTCAAGGCTTCGCTTAATCCTAGGACCATATTTGGGTATGGTCAAAGGAAGTTAGTAGGGATACCCATCCATTTAAGGGTGTTGCTGAATAGGATATTCAGAGCGCTTCCTGTGTCCACCAAGACTTTGGGGATGGTTACCCCGACCACAGGCAACGAGATTATCAGAACTCCGTGGTAAGGATGTGGGTCTGCCTCCTTCTCGTCAAACGATAGTTGCTCATCTGTGGCTTTTTTGAGGTTCTTTTCAGTTATGCCGATCTCCGAGAGATCCACAACGATTTTTCTCTTCGATCTGGCTTCCTCGGCTTGCATGTTCGTCCTACTCCTTATCATGTTGACTTGTGGCCTTGGTAGGTCGATGTTGTGGGCTCTTGCAGTAGCTTGATCTCCTTGGATAATTCCATTCCTGTAAGGAGTGGGAAATTTCACGCAATAATGATAAATTGGCATGGCAACTTTTAGTTCGTGCAAAATGGGTTGTCCTAATATTGCATTGTAATTGGATGGCAAATCGACCACCACAAAATTCGCTAGGATCCTTCTTTGGCAAGGAGCTTCGCCCAGCTCCACAATAAGGACGATCTGACCTAGGGCTTCAATAAGATCCCCAGAAAATCCCTGTAGCTTCCTTGGGTACGGTTGGAGGTAGCGGACTAATATTTCCAACTGCCTTAAGGTTTGTGAGTACAGTATGTTGACGAACTTCCATTGTCCACTAGAGTATGGTGGACTTTTACTCCGGCAACCGTTATTGTGACCACCAGGGCGTCACTCTGGTCTTGAAGGATTCCTTCAGAATCTTCTTCCGTGAGCAAGAACAATTTAGGGTCTATGCCGGTCTTAGGGGTTTGATTCCAGTAGTTCGGCACGATTTTTGCACTTTGGGCTTGCCTTCGCCTGGCCCTTCTGGATCCCTCAAGATACTAATTTCCGCCTACCATCATTTTGATTAAGGCATGTAGGGGTAGGTCACGGTTAGGGATTGCCTACTGGGCTCGTGTGGGAGTCCCCTATAGGGGTGGCTGCTGCGTCGTAAGTCGATCTGCTTCTTTTGGCTTGGCAACAAACTCCTATAACTGACCTCTTCGAATTAAGGATTCAACTTCCTCTTTTAAGTCCCGGCAGTTATCAGTGTCATGGCCCATCGTCCTGTGGCTTTGGCAGTATTGTCCCTAGCGTTGTCCTGCTTGTCCGTCCTTTAGGATTATAGGTCTGTGAAATGCCTCTTTTGTATTGGCTTGCGTGAATATCTCTTCCAAGGAGGCTTTGAGTGGGTGGTACTCCCGGAACTTGTATGGCTGAGCCCTAGGACGTTCTCTTTCTCTCATGTCCTTCTTTCTTTCGAGCTGGAGACTGCGGCTTGGTTTTTTTCTTTTACCGTATCGCAGAGGTCAGTTTCGCGTCTTGCTTCCTCTTGGTCAGAGGTTGCTTCTTCAACGCTTATGTATTTCTCAGCTCGATTCAGAAACTTGTGATAAGTCCTTGGACCATCCTCGTGTACTGACCACCAGAATCTCCTTTTGGGTCTTAGTCCTGCTAATACGGCCATGAGTGCCGCATCGTCAGATATTTTTTCCACTTCCATGGATTGCTTGGTAAACCTGCTCAGATAGCTTTTGAGAGATTCACTTCTTCCCTGCTTGATGCTCACTAGTCTTTGGGTGTCTTATTCTGGCCTTGGAGCCCATGAACTGGGCCAAGAATGCCGTGGCTAGATCATTCCAAGTCTTTACCGACCTCTCGTGTAGTCTCCTAAACCATCTTTGGGCTTTGTCTCCCACAGTCAGGGGAATGGCCGGCACATGATTGCGTTGCTTGCCCCCTGTAGTTCCATCCACGAAGTGTATTTGTCAAGGTGGCTGAGGGGATCACCATCCCTTTCGTATGCGGCGATCTGGGGAATTTTCAATTTTTCAAGTAATGGTTCGATAAGGACATCCTCAGTGAAGGGGGAATGTCATTTGGTTTGGTAACCTTCAGTACCACCTTTATTTTTAGCCTCCAGTTCGGCGATGCGATTTTTAAGCGCGCTTAGTTCATGTTCTGTTTGTTCCAAAGGACGTTTCAGGTCGGTTTGTCCTTGCGTAAGAGTCAGTAAGTGATGGGTCCCCAATCTGTCGAACACACTTGCAGTCCTCCTCGCCCCGAGTTCGTTACTTTTGGCCTCGTTAGTTTGAATTCTTGATGATTCTCCTCTTGAAAAGTGGAGAGTCCTTTTGGTGGGGGGACGCCTTGCCTTTGTCCTTACAGAGGATTCTACCTCGGTATCTGGTGGGGACGAATGAGCTTGGCTCCTTTCCAGTCATCCCACTGCATTTGTCAATTTTTCCAGGGCTTCCCTCATTGCGGTCATTTGAGGGTCCTGCCGTTGTGGAGGACTCAGTGGTGTTCGTTTCATGAGGGTGGGTATGAGATGGATTTCTGGAACTTGAGCTATGACTCATGGCTCTTGAAATTTTGTGGAGCGAATGAGACTATTTTTCATAATTAAGGCTCTCCTTCTAGCACCAAACTGTTGACGTCAAAATTAGCAAGGATAATTTTAAACCAATTTTAAGAAAAAAGGAGATTTATTCTTGAAAAAGACCACAAAAAATGTCTTTTAAGTGTGATTGTGCCATGAGTCGTTATATGAATTCACTTGCCTTTTACAAGAGTCCTATTCAACTATTTATACATAGTTTCAGTCGAAATTATATCAAATCAGTCAAATCAGCAATAGTGCCGAGCTTGGAACTCAGGTCGTCAAATTCTCCTGTGATTGGTCGATGAGGTCGGTGGTCATGTGTCAATGTGTTACCCAGGTAATGATAACCTGCAAGGGGCTGGAGTTCGAGAACTTGGAATTAGTTGTTCCGGGCGGCGATGATGTCATCTGTGACAAGTGTATCTGATTGATAGGGTGATGTGACAAAGGGTAATCTTGATATTTTTCTAAGATAACGACGGGTATGTCCGACCTGGGAGTATGGGCCTAACTTACATTTAACTAAGGTGGGGTTAGCAAACTGTTTTTATTAGGTCGGAGTTCGGATGTCAACAGTTACCCCCCAGATCAGTTCTTCCGTAAGGGGGAGCTAACATTCTGACTTGACTAGTTCTTTTTCCAAGAAAGGTAATTATTACTATGCCAAATGTCGTGCCTGGATAGGGATGTGCTGTGCAGCACTTTTGGATTGCTTCTCCAGGAAGTTTCATCAAAACTACGTCATTTTGACTTGCAAGTTTCTGGGCCGTTTGATGATTCCCTCTATTTTTGGATGAGCGGTTCAGATCATGTCTCTTGAGTTTCTTTTCCCTTAAATCCCTTTTCATTCCTCTTTTCACTGTTTCACTTTGCGTAACTCTTTTCTTTCAAAGCTTTTGGGAAATTACTTCAATTCGTATTCTATTTTCACGAGTGAGGTCGACAACCTTCAGTTCTCAAGTATTCCTTTGTTTCTTCCTCACATTCTTCTGTTCAAGCTTTATTGGTTTTCCTCTGCATGAGCTCGACCGAATCTAGAATGCATTCCTGGGGGAATCACCAAGAAGAATCTGTCCCACCCTTTCCTAGTTCTTCGTCCAGCTGTTAGGAAGTCTTGATCTCAGTCCCTCTTTCCGTAGCTAATCCACTGGACCTAGGACATCCTGTGAATATGAGGTCGAGGAGTGAGGATTTGAGGAGAGAAAGGGTTGAATCTCGCGAGGTCAGTCAGGGGAATAACTCAGGTGAGTGGGGGGCTAGTTTAGCATTTTCACCCCTATCTTTCACCTTTCATCTTTCATTACGCAAAAGGTCATTTTCATCCATTTTTTAAATAAAATGACGATTTTACCTTCCTATTCAAATAAAATAAAAAGAAAAGAAAAGAAAATTAAATAATTAATTGCAATCATAGTCCTAAATCTTTCAAAACATTACAGATAAGTCCTTAATTCTCTACTACCGCCACTTTCACAACCCCATCAAGCCACCACCTATAGATCCATATAGCACCACCTTTCAATCACAACACCTATCGGACTCCACTACCACCAGCCTCGCCTCACTCTCCCCAATATCATCCTCCATAGTATTGGTCACCAATTTGTCCGAAACAATCACATTTACGATGGTGGAGTCCGGTGGGCATGGTGGCCAAAATGTGGTGTTATGTGGATTTATAGTTGGCAGCTTGATAGATTGTGAAAACGGTGGTTGTTAAGAATTTATGATTTCTTTGTAAATTTTTAAAAATTTAAGGACTATAGTTGCAGTTGGTAATTCATCTTTTCTTTTTGTTTTATTTGAATATTAGAGTAAAATCGTCATTTTATTGAAAAAAAATGGATGAAAATAACCTTTTGCGCAATGAAATGTGAAAGGTAGGGATGAAAATGCTAAAAAATGAAATGTATAAACGTTTTGCACAATAACATTGAAAAGGTAGGGACTTTTTATGCTAATTATGCAAAAAATTGAAAGGTATGGACGTTTTTCACAATAATATTGAAAGGTATGGACCTTTTGTGCTAATTACCCTTTAATTTAACAGAGCATTTTAATGGAGAGTTGACAGAATGACATTTTGCGCAAAAAAAGGTAAAGGTGAGGGTGTAATCCGCCAAAAAAGAAAGGTAGGGACGTTTTTCACAAAAAATCTAAAGGTAGGATCGTTTTGTACTAATTACCTAAAAATATATAAAATAAATTATACAAATACCTTTAATTAATTTATTTAAAAAATGAAAATAAAAGGGTAAAATTAACTTTACATCAAAATGATACAAAGTTTGATTTTACATTGGAGTGATTTTGCACTATTTTTTAGTGCAATTTCTTGGTATCAAAAAGGATGCTCTTTACATATTATGAAGGTTTCAAATGTCTAATGTCAATGTCGTCACTTCAAGACGTTTGATTGAGAAAAGAAAATTTTAATATTTATTAATCTCGAACAATAATGGTATTGTTAATAAATATTTTAGTTTCTTTTCAAAATTAGCCCTTGTTTGATCTCCATTATTATTATTTCTTTTTTAAATCTCTTTTATCTCTTCAATTACACATTTTTAATAAAATAATATTACATGCAAATTCAAAATTTCTTCCTATTTTTTAGTTACGCATTTTTCATCAATTTATTAGAGAATGAATTTTTAACCAAAAGAAAAAAGAAAAACGAAAAAAAGGGGGCTTAAACTGGGCAATTAGCTAGTCTAGCAATTATGGAGGTTTGAACCTTAACCAAATTCAAGGTCATTAAAGGAGATTTTCTGAAACAGTCTAAGAGGGTATCTGCGCTCAGCACATCATAGCAAACCTATGAATTTGTAGTAAAATATCCTATAAACCAATAGAAGTCGACAAAAATTAAATAAATAAATCTTTTTTAATTGGAATTATTTCTAAATATGAACATTAAAATATTATTTTATTCAACACAGTTTGTATTCGATTCTCATTCTGCTAAAATTAATATCTAATAGTCCATCGACTAGACTTTTTTTAAGTGAGAAAGAAGTTACTATATTACTATTATGTACCAAATATGTCTTAAGTTGGGTACCCTTAGAATAAAGGTTGAACCTTGCCCCTCGGGGCACATCCAAGTTGACAAAGGAAGGACAGTGCGGGGCTCGCAACCCCAGCGTGGGGAGTTCGATTCCTGGTTGGAGCAGCTGAGTGTTGTAATAACCAGAGGAAGGGTTGGAGCAGCTTGGTGATGTAATAATCATGGAGGAGGCTCCCTTGGAGCCAAGAGTATAAAGGCTGTTCGAACCCTGGTCAACTTGGGCACATCCCGCGATTTACCTCCCTGAGCTACTGAGGGGCCGGAAGTTCAGGGTCTAGGATATAGTCTGGCGTAAGTTAGGACGCCTCGTTAAAAAAAAAAAAAAAAAAAAAATGGTTGAACCTTAAATTTTTTATCAATAGCTCGACATGTTGACCTAATTTTGCTTCCGTCTCACAACCGGTCCGGGTAAAATCCAAATCGATTTATGCATGTAGCCATGTGATAAAGATAATATAAAAAATTAATGATGACACAGGTGAAATCAGAAATGATGATGACACAATTTGCAATGCAGTCCGCTTTGGGAGAGGACCAAGCAGCCCAAGCTATCACCCTCCTGACAGACATTCACAATGAGACGGAGGTAGGTGCATTTCTTTGATAATTTTCATTCAAGCGAGTCCCATCACATCACTTATGAGTGAAAATCAATCAAGATGTCAAAATATTTAACCTTTATTATGGGAGAGGACGATTTCCTCGACTGCATCAAGCAACTGGGAAAACCAGAATTGGTACACGAATTAATTGAAAACACAGTAATCAATTCGACTAAGTTTGCAGGTAGAAAAGTCTAAAACGGGGCCACCCGTTGAACATTCTTAGCCTCAGGGGTCGTTGAAGAAAGATTTTTATAAAGGTGAAAATGCATATTTGAAAAGTCTATTAGTTGTCAACTGAGTTTCTCAAGTGATTTTCCCATCCTGTTTTGTGATTTTTGTTTCTTGATTCTATTTATATTTCCATACCTTCTTTGGAGTTACAAACTGTAGATTTATCTGAAATCTGTTCAAAATCTTTACTGTCTTTTTGCCAAAGATTTTGACACAAAAGGTAGCCTATCTAATTCAAAATCACCATCATATTGGAGCAGAAAACCCTAATTTCCAACTCTGTATAACCAAAATTTAGATCCCATTTCTTCTCTTTTGCTTTATAAAAACCTTCCAAAAAACCCTGGCTGCTTTTAGCCTTTTGCCTCTGCTGTTTTTCTTCTACTTGCTTTTAATGTCCCTCTGTGTATGGCCAGCCATCTTTTCCATTTTCCCGTACTCTCTCAATCCCACGCCAACCCTACACCCCATTTTTCACAGCTATGCTCGTTTGAGAATCAAGACTTCTTTTTCCTTTATTTTTCCAATGTCATGGTTGGCAAACGGCGTCGAGTAATGCTAAACTGAGTCGTGAAAAAATTAAAATCTTATTTTTCGAGATAGAAAATAACATAAAAAGGTATTAATGATTCATTTGACAAGTTTTTGAAAAGTTCGAAGCATTGAAGAAGCTTTTTTTTAAAGTATTCGAATAATTTTTTGAAATTACTTCGTTCATTTGAAAAAAAATTTATAGGGAACCCACATATTTTACAAGAAACATAAACAAACGCAGAATTCATGTTAAAGGGGACCTTGTACTTACTAACACCCTAGACACAAAATATTTCATTTTCACATTTATACGGTTATACTCCATTCAAAGATTCAATATTCCATGTGTTTCCCTCTATAAATCAAGGCAAAAGCCGTCTCTTGAATTCACAATATAACTCCTCACCTTCTCCCCCTAACCCAACCCTACCCGTCACTGTGAATGTGTCATATACGTACAGTATTTACAAACAAAAAAAACCATTGAAATATGAAGGATATTTGGACAACAATGGCATCCATGATGGGTGTGTGGGCATTCTGCCAAAGCATTCTCCACATTGTTTTCCCACCTGACTTCCGCTTCGCCTCTCTCAAGTTCCTCCACCGCCTCTTCCAATGGTTCTCCGCCTACATCTACTACGACATCACCGAAATCGACGGTGTCAACACCAATGAGCTCTACAACGCCGTGCAACTCTACCTCAGCGCCTCCGCTTCCGTTTCCGGCACACGTCTCAGCCTCACGCGCGGCCTCAATTCTAGCTCCATCACCTTTGGCCTTTCTAACAACGACCGCCTTGTGGACTCATACAAAGGCGCAGCTGTTGAATGGGAGCATATTGTCACTCAAAGACAGTCCCAATCATTTTCTTGGCGGCCATTGCCCGAGGAGAGAAGAGGGTTCACTCTCAGAGTGAAGAAAAAAAATAAACAGGTGATATTGGACTCTTACTTGGATTTTGTTATGGAAAAAGCTAATGAAATTCGCAGAAAAAACCAGGACAGGTTGCTTTATACAAATTCACGTGGGGGTTCTTTGGATGCAAGAGGCCACCCTTGGGAATCTGTTCCCTTTAAGCATCCCAGTACATTTGAAACTTTGGCAATTGATCCTGTGAAAAAGGCAGAAATTATGGCTGATCTTGTGGATTTTGCGAATGGAGAGTCTTTTTATAGGAGAACTGGAAGGGCCTGGAAAAGAGGATATTTGCTGTATGGTCCTCCAGGGACTGGAAAATCTAGCATGATTGCTGCCATGGCTAATTTTCTTGGATATGATATTTATGATCTTGAATTGACTGAAGTGAATACAAATTCTGAGTTAAGGAAGTTACTCATGAAAACCAGCTCGAAATCGATCATTGTCATTGAGGACATAGATTGTTCTATCAATCTGGCTAACCGGAACACCACCGGTAGTGGTGCAAATTCGGGTGGTCAAAGAAATAACTATGATGCTGCATCTAATGGGATTGAGGATGATGGAAATTCAATAACACTTTCAGGGTTGTTGAATTTCACTGATGGATTATGGTCTTGCTGTGGGAGTGAAAAGATTTTTCTGTTCACTACAAATCATATTGAAAAACTTGATCCTGCATTGTTAAGAAGTGGAAGAATGGACATGCACATTCATATGAGTTATTGTTCATTCCCTGCACTGAAAATTCTGCTCAAAAATTACCTGGGATTTCAAGAAGATGAATTGCAGAAAGAACTCCTGGAAGAATTGGAGTGTGTAATTGATGAGGCAGAAATGACTCCTGCAGATATCAGTGAAGTTTTAATCAAGAAGAGGAGGGACAAAAATAATGCTGTTAGGGAATTATTGGTGGAATTGAAGAATAGGGTTGGAAGAAAGAGAGGGAAATCTAGAGAGAGAAATGGAGATGAGATTGAAGATGAAGAACAGGAGAAGAGGGCTTTGGACAGTCCAAAAGATGGCTGTGATCAGTTGCCAGAAACTTGCAACAAGAAAAATGAAGGGGAAAATGGATGTGATGACAGCGATAATATCGATGAGTATGACTAAATAGTGGAAAGAGAGATGTGATAGTGTCCAACGTTGCCTTCCCTGTGGTCGAACTATCCCATACGGACATAAACCAAATCTTCGAGTATTAAGTTCAAGCTTCTTCGAAATGTTTAGTAGTTAGAAAGTATTATGTTATCTCATCTAGCACAATATTTGCTTCTTACATTAGATTGTTTGCGTGTGATTTGTTTGGCTTATTTTTTGCAATATAATTTCTTCCCAGATGTGAATCTATTTATTTTTTCCTTAATGTCATGACACATATATCCTCTCATTCTACATTTGTCTCCTTAGAGATAGAACGTATTGAGTTTTTTTTTCCCCTTAGTATTCATTTATTTGATATGAAATTGCTCCTATTGCACATGAATTTTTAATTCTTGATTCGAAGCGATGAGCATTTAGAAGTGGCATTAAAGTGAAAAGGGCACAACCAGCCTTGCTTTCTGGGCTCCTTGACACGGGGCATAGAGCTACACGAACGGGGCTGTTGCGAGCCTTTATGCAAGAGGGTGCATCAATTTAATGAACCATACTACATGTATAGTTATTATGGTTGACAATTTTTGTTAAAAATTACGAGTTGACAAAATCTACACCATTCATTTCAAAAATTGTTTTTTAAATCAACCAAACAGATTTCGACAAAACGTGCATTGTCAACAAAAATTGTCAACTATTATTGTACAAATAATTTTATTCCAATTTAATTGCAAAAAAGGGGAGAAGGGAGGAGGGGGACCCGGACGGGGGTTTACAATTTGACAATTGACAGATTATTGAAGTATTAAGCATATCAAGAGTTGGGATCAAAATTTAAATAATGGTATTGAGAAATGACGCTTGACAGACCAACTTCTTTCTGTCATTTCAAGTTGGAAACTATGAAGAGTTTGCATGTGATATTTAAAAACAAAAATCAGAGTACAATTTTAAGCCCATATTCGTCCATCAAAACTCATTTTCAATCATATTCATATAATAAAATATTTTACACGTATATTTAATTTTTTTTTCCCTACTTGTTAACCATGCGTTTTCCAAAAACTCACTATTCCAAAAAATAATAATAATAATACTCTTTTTAACGTGAGACAAACATAGGCTTAGTAATGCGATTATTAGTTATCAGAAAAAGAAAAAAAATGTTAAAATACTGTAATTATATTCTGTAATTTTGTTCCATTCCGTACTTGATGGTAGTATGCAACATAGAATTATTAATGAATTTGAAGAAACAAAGGAGAAACAGCTGAAGAATCTGAAGATTTGTATGTTCGATAAAGAGGCATTTAGTGAAAAGTATAAAGCTATATTATAATGAAAAAAGATGACACTTTATTTGTTTTGATTTTCAAACTGAGTTGGAAAGGTAAAATTGCATTACACATTTTAGCCTAGAGTTGGATTAGTTGCGACCATCATTGATATTTTCCATGTAAAGTTGTAAACAAGCTTCGGTCTTGCTATAAATCTCGATTCAACTCAAAGTTGAGAACAAAAATAAGTGATTAAACCTAAGATTTTATTACGCAATATTATTGATTCTGAAGATATAATATTGTCGATAAATATAAAATATGAACACTTACTTTGTGATGCTATGTTAGTGTTGGACGTCAACACTTTTTGAACATTTCCGGATACATGTCTAACACACCGTGTTAAGTGCCCTACTTTGAATATTATTAAAATTTCGCCACTTAAGGGATATTTACTCGAGACAACGAAGACCCCAACACATTTAGGATCACGAGGGTCCATTTGGTGTAGACTTCTTATTAAAAAGCTTACGTTCTAAAAGGAATGTTGATTTTATTAAATTTTTGAATAAATAGCTGCAAAAAATTTAAACATGTGATTTCTTTCGCAGTTTCATCTCACACATCTTTTTTGAACTACCGGTTGCTCAGTCATTGATAAATTAGCGAAATTCATCCAAACAAGGAGTTTCATCCATTAATTCGTTAATCAATGAGTTTGACCGTAGTATCCAAAGATTCGCGAAAACTAGTCAATATTTTAATATTCTTAGTTAAATTATTAAAAATGAAAAATTCAAGGAAAAAAATACAAACATAAGAAATTCAATATATATTTAGATATGAATGATTTAATAAACACTGGTAGTTATCTTATGTTAAATATCAGTAACGTATCATATAAATTCATTGGTAGATTTTAACCTTAATTAAAATGTTAAGGCCTGCATATACATATCTATATAGACACACACACACACACACAATAGGTGAAGTGTTGATACATCTCTTGAATCTAAATGGGTTGTACTTTTTTCTTGAATTTCTATCTTGATTCTTTCTTGTTTATAGATTCCTAATGGATTTTTTTTTAAATAAATAAATAAATGAAGTGACCATTGATTTGAGCCTGATTCTCAAAATTTTCAACATAGGAACAACTTCTTTATGGAACTTCAAAAATTGAATTGGAAATTGATTTGCTTGTGTAAAGGTAAGAGAATAAATTATATGCCTATTCCTTGGAGCATATGGTCAAAACCAAGAACTCAATTCTTTTGCTTTAATCTTTGAACAATTAAAAGAAAAAATTCCATAAAATGTACATTCAATGTTTCATAATGAAATATCCTTGATTACTAAGAGCATCTTCAAGAAATTCTCCATTTTTAAATAATATATTTTATCATTTGAAGAACATCTATAAATTTAGAGAGTTAAAATTCTGAAATACTTTGACAAACTATTTATATCCAACACTTAATTTTACTACTCACAAAAAATATTTATTATTTTTCTCTATTTTTTATTTTAACTAACATTTCTTTAAAATATATTATTATTTTTCTACATTGCAAATTGAAATATTTTGAATGCATTTAATTATAAATAAATAAAAAAGTGAATTTGTCTCTCCACTCTCTAAATTAAAATATTAATCTAAAGAGTTTCTTGGAACGTGATTTTAAAGGTTGACTCTTTAAAATAGAAAGGATCTCATGTTTAAAAAAATCTTTTGGAGATGTTCTAAATCCCAGTTTGAAACGCATATTTTAATCAGTCACACATTTTTTCAATAAATTAATTTCACACAGACAAATAACTTTTCTCTACTTTTTAATCACATTTTTTTTTAAGTTACTTTTCCCGAAATCTATTTGAAAAAATCATCATCAAAACAAGGTTCTAAATTACTACCTAAAGCTAAAATCAAAAATTTTCTTTGAACTGTCATTGCTTCATGCATACAGAAGGAAATATCAACATAAGTTTTGTGGCTCAAACTGGCAATCTCTACACGAAAAAAAAATAATTCAGGAATTTGTTGACAGGACATGTTGACAACATGATATGTAAGGTTTTAAACGAGTCAATCCTTCGATAAATTTCACCTGCGCAAATGAAAGATAATTTTGGGTTAGGGTTATGAACCTATAATCTGATAATCGAATCGAGTCGAGTCCTCAGTTTGGATTGCAGGCTGCAACTCACCTGCATGAAGCTGAAATCGCCACTTTTCTTTTGCTTCACTTCCGAGGAAGGCGGTTTACCAATGGGACAATGGGGAATCATAAAAATAGTTCTTTGATTGAGAGAGTACGATTCCTATCATACATTACTCCATTGCATGCATTATTCTTGCATAAGTTGAGGAGAATCAATGGCAACTAGTTGTTCCTTTAGTCAAAAGAGAGTGATCAAGATCAACTCAACAAAGGCCATGAATTGCCAACCATTATATGAGAATCTTGGACTGAATTTGCAATAAAAATGCATAAACTCTGTCCAATGAGTTACATGAAAACTGAAGCTAGATTCCATACCATATGTATAAAGAATTGGGATTCCTTTCCCAATAATTTATCATCAAATTGGAGGAACTATACGTTTGTGTTAGCTCAAATAATAGGAGTAATGAAGTTCACGTGTGGGCCTTTAGGTGAGATTTTAGATTTTTTCGAAAAAGAAAATTCTATAGAAAGTCGTTGGCCCACTGGAGGTGATAATTAGGTACAAACTGGAGAATTCCTTGTAAATCCCCATTCTGGGGTAGTTCTATCTTAGGGGTGGAGTTCAGCTTCATTCTGCACCACCACACCACTTGCTCAAATTCTAACTGGTGGATCACGCCAGACCATGAAAATACTTTATGCTCGACACATGGCCTAGAACTCATTGAGCCTAAAACGAGCCCCGTATGATCTGAAAAAGTCGCCAGCCAAGTTCAATTTACCCAAACCATTAATCTGGGGATAGGAATGCTATAAGTAAACTTGAAAGCCGTGAGTTTCGTCTCTGCACAAAGGTTTCTGAGACAATACATTTCCTTCCTTGCAAAAACCCCAAATGAAAAATAAACTGTAATCTAGGGAAACTGTAAGAAATTGCAGGACTCGCAAGATAAAAATAAAAATTACTGTCACCATTGCACGACTTTTTGAGTGAAAAATGAAATGGATTGGACCAGTGAAATTGGGATATGTTTCAGTAAATTACTTTTTCAGAATGGATGACCTCTTCTTGTAATAATCTCACTTGCAACCATCTGCTGTAAATTGGTTCCGAAAACAAAAGGCTACTAATATAGCCCAACTGGGAATATGCATCAATGTCTGAACTTTGTTGACAGGACATGTTGACAACATGATATGTAAGGTTTTAAACGAGTCAATCCTTCGATAAATTTCACCTGCGCAAATGAAAGATAATTTTGGGTTAGGGTTATGAACCTATAATCTGATAATCGAATCGAGTCGAGTCCTCAGTTTGGATTGCAGGCTGCAACTCACCTGCATGAAGCTGAAATCGCCACTTTTCTTTTGCTTCACTTCCGAGGAAGGCGGTTTACCAATGGGACAATGGGGAATCATAAAAATAGTTCTTTGATTGAGAGAGTACGATTCCTATCATACATTACTCCATTGCATGCATTATTCTTGCATAAGTTGAGGAGAATCAATGGCAACTAGTTGTTCCTTTAGTCAAAAGAGAGTGATCAAGATCAACTCAACAAAGGCCATGAATTGCCAACCATTATATGAGAATCTTGGACTGAATTTGCAATAAAAATGCATAAACTCTGTCCAATGAGTTACATGAAAACTGAAGCTAGATTCCATACCATATGTATAAAGAATTGGGATTCCTTTCCCAATAATTTATCATCAAATTGGAGGAACTATACGTTTGTGTTAGCTCAAATAATAGGAGTAATGAAGTTCACGTGTGGGCCTTTAGGTGAGATTTTAGATTTTTTCGAAAAAGAAAATTCTATAGAAAGTCGTTGGCCCACTGGAGGTGATAATTAGGTACAAACTGGAGAATTCCTTGTAAATCCCCATTCTGGGGTAGTTCTATCTTAGGGGTGGAGTTCAGCTTCATTCTGCACCACCACACCACTTGCTCAAATTCTAACTGGTGGATCACGCCAGACCATGAAAATACTTTATGCTCGACACATGGCCTAGAACTCATTGAGCCTAAAACGAGCCCCGTATGATCTGAAAAAGTCGCCAGCCAAGTTCAATTTACCCAAACCATTAATCTGGGGATAGGAATGCTATAAGTAAACTTGAAAGCCGTGAGTTTCGTCTCTGCACAAAGGTTTCTGAGACAATACATTTCCTTCCTTGCAAAAACCCCAAATGAAAAATAAACTGTAATCTAGGGAAACTGTAAGAAATTGCAGGACTCGCAAGATAAAAATAAAAATTACTGTCACCATTGCACGACTTTTTGAGTGAAAAATGAAATGGATTGGACCAGTGAAATTGGGATATGTTTCGGTAAATTACTTTTTCAGAATGGATGACCTCTTCTTGTAATAATCTCACTTGCAACCATCTGCTGTAAATTGGTTCCGAAAACAAAAGGCTACTAATATAGCCCAACTGGTAATATGCATCAATGTCTGAACTCTATTCAGAAATGCATGAATTGATCTTAAAAATGGCCACGAGTTTAGAGAATGAGTCATAAAATCCCTCTCAATGGACTCTGATAATAGCGACAAACTGAACAGCTGCAAAATAACAACAAAGGTTCAGCAAGAATATTAATTTGTCAAGGAAACTCTTTAAACAATTCAAACAGTAATATAACCTTCCAGATTGCTGCACTTTTCTCCTGAAAAGGCTACGGAGAATGTGATAATAGAGAAACTAGGGAGGGTTGTGGTAGGTAGTCAGCCAAGTAACAACAAAATTTATCAAATCTTATATCACAAATCAAACTTAGGCCATGAACAGATGTACAATAATTCAGGATAGCATAATTTGAGGAAAACCAAAAATTTCATGGCTTGTGTTAAATAAAACTTAGGAAAGAAGCCAGAGTCGGTCAATGGATGTATGTAAAATTTCATGGCTTTTAATCCATTTAACTTGGGAATTTGCATGTATCGTACCCCATCAAGGAAGCTTACGACATATCCACATAAATAAGAAAATGTCATCATCCTTTGTCTATCATCTAGTATCAACTCCCAATTTCAAAGTTAAGTCTTCTTTAGCTAGGAAATGAAAAATCATATTCACTGAAAAGTTTTCTCTTGCGAAGTTCGTGTATTAAGTTCACTAGAATACATTTCGTCTTCCTATCTAGTTCATTCACTAGGCTATTGCACTGCAGTTTCAAAAAAACTGAAAATGCGTCAATGTTACTCTTTGCCTACAGGGCATGTTGACGTTATTCAGAAACCATGAGCCAAAATACTAGTGATTGCTCAATGTCAATTAGACAACACTAAGGATTGTCGTTGTGCCTTATTTGATTCCCTTAATATGCGAAGAGATAATCTCATGCAGCTTGGTTTGACAAAATTCCACCCATTTATGGGGCTTAGATTCAGAATCTATAGTATTATTATGTTTGCATTTACTTTTGCTAATCTTAAAAAAAATCCCTTAGAGCATCTCAAATGGTTGTGTAAAATTGAGCATAACTTGGCATCTTCAAAACTACTTTTAACATCCCCATTTACATCTCGGTGAATTTAAATTCAAATTCTGCTCCAACGGGAAAAAAAAATTGCGTACAAGTGGGTTATTATCTTTTTGTCTCGTGGGTCCCACGGGTAAATGTAGAAAAAGATGTAATTTTACATTTTTTTTTTAGATTTCCAGCCATAAAATCTACCTTGTAATTTTTTTGCAAATCTCCATTGGAGAGGTTTCTTGTCACTTTAGAAATCTAAGTCACAATTTAGATCCAATTTAGAGTAACAATGGAGATGCTTTTAGAACCTAGATTGCAATATGATCCACCAGCAAATTTTGTACTCATATGGGACCCAGCTCATGATCATATCGTACCCATCGATGACAATTAGTTATGTTTTCAGCTCAACACTCGTCTAGGGTACCTATGTTTTATGAATTTCTGATAATCTTATTGCATTGGCAGCCAAAAGCTGTGATACTGGGACTCTGTAATCCGGTCGAAGTACCTGTGTCGACCCGACACGACACAGGTACAGGTATGAAATATGGAACGGACAAGACACTTTTCAACCGAACACGGAAGGATGGAGAAAGGTGGAGGCTAGGTTTTCCCTTCCTCTTCTTTCTTTTTTTTTTTTCTCTCTCTCTCCATTTTCTTGTTTCTCAGTTCTGCTCTTCGGAGGAAAGGAGGAGGTCCGACAATGTCGTAACCCAAGAAGAGGAGGTCTCAGTAGGTAGAGCGGCCGTAGCAGAGAGAAGGAAGAGAATCGAAGAGAGAGAAAGTGAATGAAAAACAATGACCTTTTAAGTTAATAACTGGGCTTTTATGGGGCTTCTAGGTTAATAATTAACTTTTACTTCTTTGCATGTTTATGATTTTGTTTGGCCCATTTATTTTTTATTTATTGAAATAATTATTAAAAACAATTAAAATATGTTTAAAAACACTCTTAAACTTAATATTAATTTTTGTAAGTATAAATTTATAACAATAACTTATTATTTTAGTAAAATTTTAGATAGTTTTAAGTGACATGTTCTATCTTTTAACAATTTGTCACTTAATTATTATTTCACTTTTTCATTGAAAAGTTTTCTCTTGCGAAGTTCGTGTATTAAGTTCACTAGAATACATTTCGTCTTCCTATCTAGTTCATTCACTAGGCTATTGCACTGCAGTTTCAAAAAAACTGAAAATGCGTCAATGTTACTCTTTGCCTACAGGGCATGTTGACGTTATTCAGAAACCATGAGCCAAAATACTAGTGATTGCTCAATGTCAATTAGACAACACTAAGGATTGTCGTTGTGCCTTATTTGATTCCCTTAATATGCGAAGAGATAATCTCATGCAGCTTGGTTTGACAAAATTCCACCCATTTATGGGGCTTAGATTCAGAATCTATAGTATTATTATGTTTGCATTTACTTTTGCTAATCTTAAAAAAAATCCCTTAGAGCATCTCAAATGGTTGTGTAAAATTGAGCATAACTTGGCATCTTCAAAACTACTTTTAACATCCCCATTTACATCTCGGTGAATTTAAATTCAAATTCTGCTCCAACGGGAAAAAAAAATTGCGTACAAGTGGGTTATTATCTTTTTGTCTCGTGGGTCCCACGGGTAAATGTAGAAAAAGATGTAATTTTACATTTTTTTTTTAGATTTCCAGCCATAAAATCTACCTTGTAATTTTTTTGCAAATCTCCATTGGAGAGGTTTCTTGTCACTTTAGAAATCTAAGTCACAATTTAGATCCAATTTAGAGTAACAATGGAGATGCTTTTAGAACCTAGATTGCAATATGATCCACCAGCAAATTTTGTACTCATATGGGACCCAGCTCATGATCATATCGTACCCATCGATGACAATTAGTTATGTTTTCAGCTCAACACTCGTCTAGGGTACCTATGTTTTATGAATTTCTGATAATCTTATTGCATTGGCAGCCAAAAGCTGTGATACTGGGACTCTGTAATCCGGTCGAAGTACCTGTGTCGACCCGACACGACACAGGTACAGGTATGAAATATGGAACGGACAAGACACTTTTCAACCGAACACGGAAGGATGGAGAAAGGTGGAGGCTAGGTTTTCCCTTCCTCTTCTTTCTTTTTTTTTTTTCTCTCTCTCTCCATTTTCTTGTTTCTCAGTTCTGCTCTTCGGAGGAAAGGAGGAGGTCCGACAATGTCGTAACCCAAGAAGAGGAGGTCTCAGTAGGTAGAGCGGCCGTAGCAGAGAGAAGGAAGAGAATCGAAGAGAGAGAAAGTGAATGAAAAACAATGACCTTTTAAGTTAATAACTGGGCTTTTATGGGGCTTCTAGGTTAATAATTAACTTTTACTTCTTTGCATGTTTATGATTTTGTTTGGCCCATTTATTTTTTATTTATTGAAATAATTATTAAAAACAATTAAAATATGTTTAAAAACACTCTTAAACTTAATATTAATTTTTGTAAGTATAAATTTATAACAATAACTTATTATTTTAGTAAAATTTTAGATAGTTTTAAGTGACATGTTCTATCTTTTAACAATTTGTCACTTAATTATTATTTCACTTTTTACATATGAATTTTTGCAAGGGAAAAAAATTGAAGTTTGAAAGACATACCCGTGTTCTAAATTTGGATTATTATTAGCCATGTCCATGTATCCTATATGTTAGAAAATAAAAGATCCGATACTTAGATACGTATCCATACCCAATACTCGTACCCGAGTCCAAACATCATAGGCCAAAAGAGAAGAGTTTTGCAATGATCATCCATACAAGTAAACACAGTATGCTGATAGGCATCAGGACAATACTGTAAAACGTCTCTATAGTCATAATGTTGAGACCAAACTAATTTTATTACTATGAAAAGGTTATAACACAATTGAGGTGTAGTTACGAAAATTATTGTTTTGACTTAGTCATCCTTAGTGCAAGTAGCATGAGGTAAAGTGTGTACTGCATTAATAATTAATTAATTAATGGAGCATGTCAAAACCAAGATCTAGACATTGGCTAAAGAAATAGACATGATTCAAAAAACTAGTACACATATCTATGTTGTGTAGGCAATATGCAAAGTTTTCTTAAAAAGTCTAAAATTTTTCATCCTTTTAAATGTTTTTCTCTTAATGTAAATTGTATATATACATTGTATAACACAACGCATGCAATGTACAAATAATTATTATGTGGAGGCAAGTTCCTTAAGACGGGACCTAGAAAAATTATAGCTTACTACAATATGGAGTTTGCTGTTATTTATAATTGGCCCAAGTTGGAACCAGAATTTTTAATAACTGCCCTCACAAAACAGGACGCCTGCTTCAGAAGCAACTGTGCAAAAATTTGAAAATGGTAACCTATGTAGCAGTTTACATAGGTTCCACAACTCCCATGCACAGTTACAGCTGATGGCCTGTCTGGCTGTCTCACACATTGATCTCATTTCTTAAACAAAGTATCAAACAATCTCGATAAATGTCTTAAGTGATTATTAGTGCTAAAATAGCAAAACCCCAACACTTGTTGAATCTGCAAGTGCGCATGCAAATGTAAATACATGCATACGACTTCTCTCTGTGATCATTTGAACAATGATATTGATGCCCTTTTAAAAGTATGAAACTTTAAAATTCAACTAATTTTTTTATAATCAATAACAGGCAGAAAATTTACATCTTGGCTCCTTCAACCAGCAAGATGATTTGTCTTTCAAACTTGGTCCACATTGCAGTGGAAGAATTAGAGAATATAAATATACAATTAGAAGATTAGAAGTTGCTGAACAAAATAATAATCAAAATACACTTAGTCAAATTGACAATTTGTATGAATCTCAAATGATTCAAAACATAACACTTCGGTATGTAGTCCTTTAGAAACTTACCAGAATTTCTGCTTGTCTCCTAGCAATTCAATTTGTTAGCGTGAACAGAGGGAGTATCCGCCATCTAGTCCCAGTGTTTAAATAAAAAAATCAACCCTCATCTATCAACCCCAAAAATTCCTTCTCTTTTAATAACAAATTCACACGAGCAATCTGGCAAATGTGGCGCAAAAACAACCCGAATGAACCTCCTTGCCTGCATACTCCTAATTTCACCACCTTCCACATCAACTCTCTCTTCTTCTCTCCATAAAAACAACCTTATATTCACGCAATTTGCCCATGACAAACCCAAAGCCGGGCAAACTCTCCTCCCAGACGAGAACAAAAATCCCGAATTCCCAATCCTCAAATTACCCGAAGACTCAATCACATCCACTACCTGGTTAGTCACCACAACGGCCAGACCAAATTTTTGAGCTTGAGATTTTAATTTCGAGGCTATCTTAAAAAACATGCTCGATCTCCGTTTTAATTCAAGTGGGGTGTTATCAAACTCTGAACGGAATAATGCTGCTATAGAATCAATAACAATTAGCCTAATATTCAACCGGGAAACAATAGATTCTAGGCGGGACAAAAGGTCGAGCAGGTGGTCGGGTGAGTTGACGGGTTGAATAAAAATACGGTCCAAAGGATTATTAGGGATATGAGATTGATAAAATACCGAAAGTTGTTGCAGGCGGCGGAAGGGGAAGGGAAATTCAGAATGCAGGCAAAGGGATGAAGCAGAGAGGCCTCCTCGTGTAGCGGGGAGTTGGGCGGCGAGGAGGAGCTGGATGGAAAATTGAGTTTTCCCCACGCCGCTCTCGGCGGTGATTTCGGTTATGCTGCCGCAAGGAATACCTCCACGGAGGAGGCCGTCGAGAAGGGGGCAGTTAAGGGTGAGTTTTGGGGTTTGGGCGGGGAGTGGGTGGCGTAGAAGGTCTTCTGGTTTCATTTCGCCGAACTGAAAGTTTGGGATAGTGTTTGGTTTAATTTAAGTTAAAGTAAAATAATAAATATTAACCATAATTTTTATGGATCATACAACTTTTCGATCACACTTTTCAAAAACTTCTATAACAGTCTATTAAAAATTTTAGCCCTTGTTTGAGATCCATTTTTGTCCAAAAATAAATTTTTGAATAGTATGTTGATAAAAAATGTGTTGTTAGAAAAAAAAAATGGATTTATATGCAATATTATTTTATCGAAAAATGTATGTTTGAAGTGAAGTCAAATCACTATTCAAAAATGAATTTTGATGAAATATAGGACTCAAACAAGGGCTTAATTTTAATTTCCACTAAACACCCTCTAAACCTGATTTCGTGAAAGGCGCCAAATCTTTCCCTTTTCTTGCATTCAAGCAAAAAAATATGTACGTAAGTTAAAATAAGCCTTATTTACTCAAGAAGAGAAATGAAAAACGAAAAAGTATCTCATTAAATACCTTCAGATGAGAAAGTTAATTTCAATGCTACCGACGGCTGAGGAGATGGGATTGGAGATTTATAGTTATGTGACATTTCCGAATGGAAATATATAAAGATTATGTTATATCTCATCCTATTGAAGACGTAACAATGATGCAGTTTTCGAAATAGAGAGTTGTTGGCCACGATTGTAGCATTACATGTAATATCCCAAAATTTCATAGATTATAATTTAATTTATGTGTATTATATTTTAATATTTTGGAAGTTTAAGGACTAAAATATATATAAAATAAATTTCAATATTGTAGGATATTAAAATGTAGATATTGGCGAAGCGATGATAAATATATGAATATTGGGCTCGTTGGAAATATTGTAGTTAATCATGTATGTTAGGTTCGAGAAAGAGTTAATTTAGATTAGCAGAGCCCAAATTATCAAGGTTGAAAGATATAGCTTTAAACTTATATTTGTTTGAGCCACATTATTTTGGTAATAATGCATTCTTGAATAGTGTACTGATCGGAAAT